AATAATAATAATAATAATAATAATAATGATGATGATGATGGAGAAATGTGGGATTCACATATAAATCAAGTATAAAAATCAAATGAATAATCATACTTGACCTGATTGTTTATAGTTCATGATGCGTGATCAAAACCGAAAGTTTCTGTGATGACTGCCCTTGCACTGTTCACCATGTAAGAACTTATTCACTATGTAAGAACTTGTTCACCATGTAAGAACTTGTTCGTTATGCTGCAGAACATTGGAGGCCGTTGAGAATTAGGCTTGGGGTTGATTAATGATTGTGCATTGAGTCCCCTATACAGAATTTTATTGTTGTTAACAACCATATGATCAATAAATATGAGAGATGCCCTTTAAAAAAAAATACAAGTACTTTGTTTTATATGAAAAATGATGCTGTATAACCCAGTTTGAAAAAGACATATGCACTCCTATGTTTATCGCAGCACTATTTACAATAGCCAAGAAATGGTAGCAACCTATATGTCCATCAGTAGATGAATGGATAAAGAAGATGTGGTACATATACACAGTGGAATATTATTCAGCCATAAGAAGAAAACATATCCTATCATTTGCAACAACATGGATGGAGTGAGAGGGTATTATGCTCAGTGAAATAAGCCAGGTGGAGAAAGACAAATACCAAGTGATTTCACTCATATGTGGAGTAAAAGAACAAAGAAAAACTGAAGGAACAAAAACAGCAGCAGAATCACAGAACCCACGAATGGACTAACAGTTATCAGAGGGAAAGGGACTGGGGAGGATGGATGGGAAGGGAAGGATAAGGGTGGGGAAAAAGAAAGGGGGCCTTACGATTAGCATGTATAATGTGTGGGGGGACATGGGGAGGGCTGTGCAACACAGAGAAGACAAGTAGTGATTCTACAGCATCTTACTATGCTGATGGACAGTGACTGTAAATGGGTTTGTGGGGGGGACTTGGTGATGGGGGGAGTCTAGTAAACATAATGTTCCTCATGTAATTGTAGATTAATGATACAAAAAAAAATAAAAAAGATGCTGTAGTTAAAAAAAATATCTGGTTGGTTTCTTTGAGAGATGTCATGAGTATTAATCATGACACAGTCAAGACACAGAAATCATACTAGTTATTCAAATGAAGAAAATTTAATGTAAAGTGGTATTAACTACTAAAAAGAATTAAGGACACCTTGCTACTGTATGTAGGGCTAAGAGAGAAGGAACAAGGAAGGAACTGAGACACTAACTGCCAGGCTAAGATTCAGACTTCAGAGAAAGTGTGGTTGCCATACAAATATGCTGAAGATTAGTAGAGAAGTAATTTGCCAGAAGGTATGCACTTGAACTGTTGGGTAGGATGGTCCTACAGGGTGGTAAAGAAACTCCCAGAGAGTATTTACCACCAGGCCTCTGGCACACTGATTTTCTGGCACTTTATATCATAGGAAAATAAAAAGTACACCACACCAAGGTGAGAAGTCTGTTCCTCTTACGGTGACCTTGCAGTGACCTTCCAGCTTAACATTACACCAGCTGCCAAAGGAGAGAAATTCATAGGATTAAGTTCCAGTATCACAGAGCAGGCAAGGAAGTATGAATTAGGAACTCAAAGACATTACATCAATAACAGTGTGATATAAAAGGGTCGGCACTGGGCTACGCTGTTGTAGGTCATGCATTCGGTAGCAGCAGTAGCCTGGCTAGTCTCAATGATGAGGAAAGAGCTGCGGTTCATAGTTTCCCTCCCTCCCACTCTGGGAACTCCCGTCACGGAATTATTATGCAAGCACTGAGGTGAATGAGTCTGAGGTTAGCTAACCCACCACTGTGTGAGTCTTTCTACCTGTTTAGTTGTCAACACTTCCTCTGTGAAGGACGTTCTTGGGGAGCACTGCCCTGGGATGCATATATCCTCACATTCTGTTTACTTTCTCATAGAACAAGTCACATGCTTTCCCTCAAGTCTCTGTCATCTGTTCTTACTCTTCCCAGATTTTTGACCAACAAGCTAGGCCACTCACCTATGTCTGGGAATTTATTCATCTCCTAAGTTGAATGGGCATCCTCTTCTACAATCAGGCAATGACTAGCATTGCTCAAAGCTTTTCCCATTAGGAAAATGTCTCTTCACTACATGAGGCCACTTCTGTGAAGGTTTGTTTTTGGATAACATCAGTATATTGGCTCATGAATCTGGACCATGATTATGGTCACAAACTGGGAACCAGGAATTCCATACCAGGTTGTAAATGTGAGCTTCAGGGGAGATGTTGGAACAAATGAATTAGGTAACTTGGAATCTGGGCTTTTGTAAATTATCTGTGGGCTCTGAATTGCTTCAAGCCTCATCTTAATAATCTTCATGAAATGATGAATTTCTGTTGTGTCTACACAATCTTATTACTTGGTAGGTTCATAATTCCCAGCCTGTGATGAGTAGTACCAGTTGTAGATCTGGTCCCTAGTAGAGAGACACTTAGTTCCGTCTCTATTAGGGACAAGTCAGTGCCAGAAGCTGCTTTTCTAATGGCTAATAGTTCCCTGTTTTAAATACCTCCTATGCTAGAGAATCCATATGACACCCTTTTCCCTTTTCTGAGAAGACACCTCCAGCACCACGGCATCCACCTGGCCATAGCAATAAAGTTGCAGGGATGCTTGTATGGCAGCCTGAAAGTACTACAGAGTCCTGTCCCTTTCTGGGCCCACTCAACTGACAGTTTTCTGAGTCACTTGATAAGTGGACAAGGACAGTGTTACCAAGTCTTTCTGTGCTGTCGACAAAATCCAAATGGTCCCACCAAGTGGAGTAACTTTTTGAAAATCATAGGAGTTTCAAGGTATCATGATGTGTTTTTGCTTTTGGCGGAAATGTTCTGGTATGCTTCCATTTACTAGATCTCTAAAAAGTTCCCTCATTTGAAAGGTCCCTAAATCAGAGTTTTGAAGTTGGGTTTTTCTCCCACTTTCTGGCACATAAGATGATATCCAAAGTACTTCGTACTTTCTACTCACTAGGTCCAATCACTGTGATGACGTTAATATCAAGGCCCAGCTATATGTATTCTATATAATGGTCAAATTACCTGGGTTCCGTCTGTATTTTGCTAAAATAAGTATGGAACTAATGCTTTTTGGGGTCAGGACTATGAGTGTATAGTACCATCTATTCCAGGTGAATGTAACTGCTTCTAATCCTCTTCCCTGATTAGTATTAGAAAAAAAAGCACATTTGCCAGATCAATACCTGTGTATCAATGCTCAAGGCCATATTGATCTGTCCTAGTAAAGTTATATATCTGGTACAGCAGCTGCAATTGAAAATAACACCTGGTTAAGTGTATGCTACTTGCTGTCATTTGCCATGCTCTGGTTGTTTTTTAGGTGGGGGGGACATGCAGACTGGTTAGTTAAATAGGCTTAAAATGAAAAACGCTACCCTTGCATCTTTAGGCCTCTACCATTCTGCTCTTCTACCTGAGAGGCAGTATTGCTTTTAATTGACTCACCTACTTAGAAGGAGGAAGTTTCAGGGGCTTTTACTTGAATTTTCCTACCATTATTGCTTTGTTCCAAAAGTAAGTTTGCAAGTGCAAGAGCTCTGCATATTAAATATATGCATCCTAATTATACATTTGTGGACTGAGAAATGCTCTTGGAGCCAGAGCTGAGGGCCCTGTGAATCGCTGGATCCACAGTGAGATGACTGAAGGCAAGTATTCCATGCATCACTGTGCCTCCATATGCTTGCATTCTGCTTAGGGTCTGTATGACGTTTGGGTCCCCTAGTATATTGTTAGTTAAACTCTGTATCTGACAGGTTTCAAAGTATAGAAGTAGGTCTTGGTAAATTTCTTTAGATCCCTTTGAGGAAAGATTATGGGGTCTGGTGCAACATATACTTGATAGGATTTTATGCAGTATTCCTCAAGAAGATGCAGCCTCTTCTGGAATAGGTTCCCTGGATATTAGTATAACATTATGATTTTGCATGGTGGTATCTAGCATCAGTCTCTTGATCACCTGTTTTTGAATTGCTTTTGTTGTTTTTATTGTATAACCAGGCAACATCCATAGGTACAATGGTTAATCAGCCTACAGAATCTGAATGCTGCTCAAAACTACATGAGTTTGAAAGAAGTTTCTTCCCTGGGTAGGCCTCAGATGAGACTGAAGCTGTTATCAAACCAAGCCTGCGTCCACTTGCCTGATGCATAGCAAGCCAAACATTGATACCAGGGTGCAGTGAAAGAAAGTAGGCATTTATTACAAGGGTCTAAGCAAGGGGAATGGGTAGCTAGTGTTTAAAGTCTTGAAGTTCTCATTGGCTTACAAGCAAGGGCTTTTAAAGGGAAAATTGTGAGTGAGGATCTCAGGATCAATGATCAGCTCAGGGATATCTTCTGACTGGTTGAGCATTAGGCAACCAGTAGCTCTTTCGGGAATCTCAAGCATCACTCATCTTGCTTTAACTAGTCTGGGGTCTGTGTTTCAGTGAGCCATCAGGTCCATGTGGTGGTGGTGGTGGTGGTGGTGGAGGGTCTCATCTCCTGTAAAACAATGCAAGGATATGTACCAAAACATTATCTATAACTCTGGAGGGCAACTGCAGTCCTATGAACCTGCTTTACATCTAAGCTAAGCTTTTACTCTTGCTTAACCCATTCTTCCTTTGCTTCTGAACATATCTGTTTCCATTATCATTAACGATACAGTCCAGCTCCCATACTCTGATTTTGAGGATTCAGAGCCTGTAGTGGAAGAAAAGTCTGAGGGGTTTTACCAAGGTGGGTGACAGTTAGGTTTCGAAACTCTGGCTGACCCCTTAATAGCAGCTGTGTGAGAGAGATGATCCACCTCAGCTATGTCTAGACTGATTTACAGAAATTGTGATATGTATGTCTGTTGACTTAGGCTGCTAAGTTTGTAGTAATTTGTTATGATAACTGATACACAGGGATAGTTGGGCCATGCTGAGTCATAATCATAGTTACTGGTATGGAAGTAATGAGGAAAATTAGAAGTAGCTCTGGAGGAGAAAAAAATGATTTTGTAAGACATTTGCCTCAGGTGAAGTCTTTGCATGGTCTCCAGAAAAAGGGAGACTGTTATTATCTGATAAAAAGAGTGTGCCATGTCTGCTAGCCCAGAGGTCTGGGCAGCCTTGGGTTTCAACGTTCTTAGTCTAACTACATAGCTCATCTAAGGTCTTCAATTCTACTCCTTCCTTGTCAGTGTTCTGACTTGAGTGTAGAAGACTTGCCAGGATATGAATTTAGCATTCTTTATAAGTTCATTTTCTCATACTCAGATTCTGGGCCTGATTTTCAGCACAGCGTGCGCTCTGGTTATTGGAGACGAGAGTCTTTTTAACGCTGCACTAGCCTCTGGCTTGCCTAGTCATGCCAGTTGACTTGACCTTCAGGTGTTTTTTGTTTGTTTTAATTACTTAATGACTGAAAAAAATTTCATAGCTTCTGTAATAATTACTGTCCCCATATCTCTAGAGGTATTGCATAAGCCAGTGGGATTCATTCCAGTTGTGACCTAACTCACCCACAGGTAAGTGTCTTTGTTATTGCAATGCTACAGCATTTTCAGGGTTATCATTACCCTATTCCGACCAGTAATGGGGCCTTAGAAGCATCTGGAAATGAGCAGTCCAAGTTCAGAGTTTTATCCTGAGGAACTGCTTTTTAAACCACTTCTAGTATCCGTTTGCCTTAGTTCGGGTTCCCCCAGAAACTGACAGCTAGATTCAAGTGTCACTAATTTGTGAGGTATTTCAGGAAACACAAGTAATGACATGGACACTGAGACAAGGAGGGGAATGAGCCAGCGAATTGTACATCATCAAGTCAATTATCTTTATGGGCAACTGGCACTTCAACTACCTGGGATAATCTCAAAGTCCCTGATGGGTGAGGAAGTTGAAGTATTTATATAACAACTTGAATCAATTATTGGTAGAGAGCTATTTCGGTGAGCCATTATTTCTCTGTGACACCAAGTCTTCAGTGCAGCAACTTAAGCTTCAGTAGAGATTCACCTTTGGGCAGAGATTCTGATGTTAGCCATTGGAAATCTCCAGAAATGTACCAATATGATAAGATGGCTTTTTTTTTAACTGAAGTTTTTTTTTAAAACTAAAAACACTTTTAAAAATATTCTTTATTACCAGATAAGAATATATTTTCTATTAAACTGTACCTCCAATCGTTTTATTGAATTTTAAATCTCAATGCGATTGTGTCTTCTTACTTACCTTGAAACTGTTGACAGGATATTGAACATTCCTATAAAAAATGAAAATTAAGGTCATGTTTTGGGTATTTGACAGTTATTAAACAAAGCTCACAGTGTCCTGCTGAATGACAAATAAAAAGCAGATCTAATCCTGGCTTTCATGACAATTTCTGTATCATTAATTTATTCTCAAATACAGGTATCTCATGCCTAAACTAAATAATCCATTCCTAACACTCAAAGATTTTACCCTGAAATGATAGTTTTGTTACACATCAACACGAAACCCCAACCAATTTCCTAAAATATAGCTAAAATGTGGTAAAATGTCTATAAGTAACAAATATTTATATATTAGGATGTTAAATGCTTTAAAAAAATCACATCATAATCACCAAACACCCTAAGTATGAGCTTATATAAGAACTTGATAAGTCAAAATGTATAATGTAATTTCTAGGATAGCTGTAAAATAGCAGTAAAGAAAGTGAATAACTACCAAGGAAAGAAAGGAAAAAAATAGGGTAATGAAATTTAATCAACATGAAAGAGGGCAAGAAAAGAGAGAAAAACGTAGCTCAGTCAAGACAGCAAATAAAATGGTAGTTGCACCAAATACAAATGGGCTAATCAACTGAAGATAAGAGGGGTTTAAATTTAAGTAAAATCTAACTATAATGCATATAAAAGATACACTTAAACTAGAAGGATACAGAAAAGTTTCATAACACATAAAGTTAATATGACTACTAACCAAGAGAAAACTGGCATAGCTATATTATTATATTTATATCAGATGAAGTAGATTTTATTCAAAAGACATTACTATTGATTAAGAAGGATGTTTTATAATAATAAAAGGTTAAATTCACTAGGGAATTATAATTACCAATTTGTATAGACATAACAAAAGTCTCAAAGGAAAAAAGAATCACAAGAAGAAATTCACAGTAATTGGGTAGGGTAGTTAAGATGCCTCCCTCAGTAACTGATCAAACAAGTAGAAAACAATAAATGCAAAAAAACCCAGAAAATTTGAAGAATAATATTAATAAACTTGGCCTACTAGAAATATGTAAAACACTGCTCAATACATTTGCATAATAAGCATTCTTTTCAAGGGCGCATGGATTATTTACCAAAGTTGACCGTATTTGGGGTAGATAGCATCAACATTCAAAACAAAAGCAAATAGATCTGACCACAGTGAAATGAAGCTAGAAACCAATAACAAAAAATGATTAGAAAATTCCCACATACTTGTAAGTTTGTAAATTCAGTCAAAAATAACCCACCATAGGTGAAAGAAGAAGTCATATGAGTATTAGACAATAAGCTGAATCATTACCAAGGAAAATTCCATGAAGAGAAAGTCTAGGTCTGTCTCATGCACTGAAGCCTGATTTTCAATCATACACTGTTTGACATATAGTAGATGCTCAGTAAATACTTGTTGAGTAAAATGTATTCTAGGGTAAATGCATATAATTCCTTTGGAGAAGGTACCTCTTGGGTCTGAGAGATTTAAATCAATGCAAAAAGTTCAATCAATACCAGGTACAGATTTTTCAAAAAGATAATGTAAGCAGACCTCAGAATTCAGGTTACCCTATCCTGCATCACCAGCAGGAGGAAAAAAGGGGAGAAGAGGTAGATAAGGAGGGGCAGTGCTGAAAAAACAGGTACTATCTTTTATAATTTAAAATTCAGAGTCCTGCCTGCATTGTTCACACTGTTCAGAGTGATGCCAAACATCAAGTACGGGAAAAGAATGAGTTTATTTTATCTTGGCTCTCAGAATCATCTTTTTATGAATCAACTTGTTACTTATTAGATATAGAATATTTATATACGCTGGTCCAGAAGTTATTGAGAATTATAAAATGACTATTGCTAATTGTAGAATTTTCAGAATCCATAGATTCTCATTCCAGAAAATAAATTTTATTAAACATTATCAATTAAAGGTTCGATTGTCATTATTGACCTAAATTCATCAGTTGTAGTGATATTAGCATGAAGGTTTACAACATTTTTATTTTTATGAAACATGAATAATCTGTGACTGTATAAAGGTGGGGCTGGGAGATAAATGTCAATATCCTTTCCATTTAATTTGTGCGACTGCTTTACAAGGTTTCAATTAGATCCTTTTTACCCCTGAGAGAAGCTAACAGATGTATTGCATTAATTATGGTTCCTTGAGGCAGGCTCAGGGAAGCCAAAATTATAAAATTACAATCATTGCAGTTTTACAGGTTCTACTTTTTGTCTCATTCCATGTGCTTGTAGAGTTGAGATGTTACTTTATAACCAATAGTTTCAGAGGAAGTAAGTTTAAGACTAGCACCAAAGCTCTGTGGAACAGGAGATAGCAAAGAAATGCAGCCATAGAACATAGTCTGCTTAACCAAATGTATGACTGGATGTGGTTTATGATATTTTACAAGCCAGCTTCATTATTTGTCCAGTGAAGTTAGTTCCTCAGTCACTAGGGAATTAAATTCTCTAGGGAATTATAATGCTCAATCTGTATAGACATAACAAGAGTCTCAAAGGAAAAAAGAAACCCCAAGTTGGGATGATTTCTCAAGGATGTTAGCTGCTGATTGCATCGTGGCTTGCCAGCAAGGAAAAGCCTCAGTCCAGCGTAAGAATATGCAAACCATCACCCATACATATAAATATACAGAGGATTGCTTGGGGGGGGTGGGGATGTGCATGTGTGAAATCTATTTGCCAAATCTTAAAAGAGGACTGAGGTAATGGATAGCGACCAGAGGCTGTATGTAGGGGCCTCCCAGGGTTATATGGTAGGCAAATATGGCATCTCTCATATATTTGATGAGCAATAGTAGGGGATAGTTTCCAATAGTAATGTTTAGATCACTTTATCAGTGTTCTAATGTGTTAATTCATGGACATACTGTAAAATGGGGTATTGTAATTTGTCAGATAGGATTGATTGGCCATGGTCTCATGGAATTATCCAGTACTTGGTGACCTTGATTTATCCATTTCCCCCTTTCCTGTACAGACATGTAATTTGGGCATAAGAGTTTCAAGGGTGAGTTTGAGGGGTGTTATGCGAGCTATGGTGACAGGATTACGAGAGGCTGCTTTATTAGCAGCAGAATCTGCATAGGTATTGCCTTAAGATTCTGGAGAAAAAGGAGGTTAACGAGCTTGGATTTTAATAACAGTGCTTGCTTTTGATAAAAGGATAGCATCTAATCAAGAGAGATCTTTATTTTTGATAGAACCTCCGGAGGACATAAGACATAAGGAATCCCCATTGTGGCCATAACATTATGAAATCAAGAGCAATGCTTTAAGCATATCTACTCTCTGTACAGGCTCTTAGAAGATTTACCTGCTGCTAGTTGGCAGGCTTTAATGGGGCAAAGAGTTCAGCCTGTGTGCTGAGGCATCTGCTGGGAGAGAACAGAATTCTATTATTTTAGTATGTGACAATAGCATAACCAGCCTGATAATTTCCTTCTGAGTTTTTAAGATATGAACCATCAAATAAACATTTGGGAGGGGGATTTCCTGCAGGTCATGGTGGAGAGCTAATAGAGAGTAGGCAATTGTGATTGGGGTCAGGGAGTGAGGAAGGTAGTAAAGTGGCAGGGTTTAGGGTAATACAGTGTTTAATGGAGACATCAGGAGCAGAAAGAAGTAGGAGCTCTTGTTTTGTTAGGTGGTTAGAGGAGAAATGAACATATGACATAAGTCAGCTAAAGCCTAGATCATGTGGGATATGCATAGGGTTAGATTCAAGCCAAGGGTGAATTCAGTTACTTGTGGCAAAGTAAAACAGCTGCAGGCAGGCACAGCATGTGGACACAGAGGGACTGACAGGGTATAGTATGCTAAAGTATTCTACAGGGTGATGTTGGTCCTCATATTTTTGGGTAAAAACTCCAGTAGCCATTCTTTTTGTCTCATGTAAGAATAGGGAAAAGGTAAGTTGGTAGTTTGTCCCAAGGTTGGTGCCTGAATGAATTGCTGATTTAGAACCTGCAGGGGTCATATGTCATTTGGTCCCAAGGGAGGGGTGTGGGTAGGTCCTTGGTTAGTAACTGAAAGAGGGGTTCAGCAAAGAGAGAGTAGTTATGTATCCAGGATTTGTAGTATTCTGTAAGTCCTAGGAACCTCTGTAATTGTCTATGTTCTTGGTTGGGGACAGTTAAGGATGGTCTGATTCCTAGCAGGATCTACTTTAAGGCCTTTCAGGCATCAGCATGTGGCCAAGAAATTTTACAGTTGGGCAGCATAGTTGGAGCTTGTCTTTAGACACCTATGTCCTTTTGATGCTAGAGCCACTAATAGCATTTGGATGTCTGTCAAAGATTATTGGAAATCAGGGGAGCAGAGCAAGAGATTATCTACATATTGAAGTAGGGTGGAATGGCCAGGGAAGTGTAAGTTGGGCAGGTCGGCATGTATAGCTTGAGAAAAATAAGTGGGACTTTAGGTATGGCTTTGGGCAAGTGCTGTCCATGTATACTGGTGTCCTTTCCAGGTGAAAGCAAAAAGATATTATCTGGATAGACAGGAATATTGAAGAAGGCACTGTGGAGATCTGTGACCAGAAAGTGAGCTTTGGGGTGGCATGTTGGAGAACAATGTGTCTGGAACAACAAGGTGTCAGGGGATAGCTAAGGTGTAAATAGTTCCTAGACAAATAACCAGCTATTTCCATTTGACTTTCTTACTGGTAGAATGGGAGTGTTGCATGGACTGGTGGTTGATATTGTTAGGCTTTTGGATATGAAGTCTTCATTTATAGGGCAAATGCCTAATAGACTAAGGGCGTATTGTTTTATATTGGGAAGTGTTTTTGAGAGGTTGATAGAAATGGAAATAAGTTCCGCTGTGCACATATGTCCAAAATCAGACATGGCCTGTCATGATTCGGTAGGTTTTTTTAAGTGTCTCTACCTGATTAGGGCAGGATTGGCTCAGGGGTAATATGGATATAGAACTAAAGAGAGTCTTCTTCATAATTTGAAGGTCTTGGGAAATCTAAATAAATGTGTATATGGGTTAAAGGTAATGTTAATAAAACATTTTTGAAACAAATCATGTCTTCGGAAATGTGCAGGTGAAGAGGGTACAAGAGGGAACACATGGTGGCCTCATAGATGTACCAGTTGAAGGGGCTTAGAAAAAGGGGCTTCAGTAGGAAGGGTAGAAATCCCAGCCGTTTGGACGGTCCGATCACTCTGGGGCAGAGGGCCCGTACAGCAGTCGGGGTTTAAGACAGAGGAAGCGGCCCCAGTGTCAACCAAGAAGTTCAGGGTTTGTTTTTCTGTCTGGAGGGTGAGTTCCCTGATTTGGCTGAGTGTCAAGAAAAGAAGGCCCTTTGATATTTCCCTGGAGCACCCTTATTCTGTTTTGTTTTTAAAAGGGGTGGAGTGGGGCTCCATTTTGTGGATTGCCCATTTATATATTTCTAGCACTCCTTTTTTAAATAGCCATTTTCCTTACCTAAAACTCAGATTTGATCTGATCTTTAGGTCCTGTTTGTTCTAGGTCAAGATATGGGAATAGATAAGCTGGAATTGTAGGTCCATTAGTTTAGTCATCTTTTATTGGCAAGCTAAAGCGTGTTTGGCACAACTTTCTTTTTCTCTCCCTCTGGCTTTGGCTAACCTGTTGCCATTTGATCCAAGGATGGCTGGAGACTTTGTGTCCCAGTCTGGATCATATTGTTTAACCAAAGTAGAAATTAGATTTAAAAGTTCATTTAAAAAGAGGGTGGCAAATAATTTGATAGTATTTCTTTCTAATGTTTTAATGCCAGAGTTTTTGATAAAATCTTTTTCAAATCTATCTAAATATGACAATATGTCTTCATCCTTTTTCTGACTACGAAGCTTTATTGCTTTCCAGACAAGTATGGGAAGCCAAACATTGGGGATTGGCACTAGGAGATATTCTGCAATATTCTGAGTCTTTCTTAGGCCTTTGAGAGGGTTGGTGTTGGTAAGCCTAATATCTCCCACTGAGTCCTTCCTGCCTGCCTTTCTGATCCATTCTTGTGCCTTAATTGGTCCCCTAAACATTTGGACCAATTGATATAGATCTGTATGCAGTAAATATTAATCTCAATTATCTTTGAAATTCTATAGAACCAGCTTCAGTTTTGGGAAAGTCTTTGGTAATGTTTATGAGATCAGTTTTTGAGCATGGATCATAAATAAGAACTGGTTAGTACTTCTGTCAGCATTGATTCCATTTGCTTCAATCTTAAAGGAGACCTTTTTGAGGCTTTAAGTACCAATCAAAATAAGTTTACCATCGTGCCTATTTAGTAAGTTAGCAACATCTTTCCAGTTGATTGCAGAGATAAACAAGTTTGGGGAGGTGAAAGTGCCCCAGGAAGACCAATGTAATTTGGGGTCATCTTTAGTAATTTTGACCCAGAGACCCCCAGATATTTGCAGGTCTGAGGGCCATAATTTTTGAACATGAATCCTGCAGCTGTTCCTGATGGCAGGTGTTCAGGTAGACTAGTCTTAGACAAGGAGCAGCCCATTTCAGAGAGAGAGACCTTCATGAACAGTGGAAAACCTTATGGAGGGACTTTCCTTCTACCTTATTGTGCACAAGAAATCTCAGGGAGGGAGTTCCCCTCCTTATGGACAATTAATGTCCCCCTGATGTGAAGGTGTCCCCTCCTGAAATCTTAGGGAGAGAAGAGGAAGATATGGCCCCACAGCCTCGACCAGAGTGTGGGAGGTCAGGCTATGAGAGAGCATACCTGGTGTCCATTTGAGGTTGAAGGAGAGCTGGAAAGAGCTCACGCAGCCCAGGTGCTGGCTGCCAGCGAGTCTGTTCATTTGGGTGTACACGTGAGGCTGCTGCTTCACATTCCATCCTCATCACCAAAAAAGTTTAGCTGAAACAAAGAAAATGAGTTTGAGATTAAAAAGTGAACTTTATTTGAAAAGATTTGCAAACTGGTGAGACACAATAGCATATAACTGGAAAGTATGTTACACCCCACTTCACTGCCCCTGGTTAGTGGGGGGAGGGTTTAAGAAGGTGAAAACCCGCAAGCAAGGTGAGCAGGCTGTTAGTATCTTACTGGTTGCCTTAGAGCAAGAAAACAAGTTGTCGTGTTTGCGCAGGGGCTTTCCAAAAGCTCTTTGTAAACAAGGGGCCATTTCTGGGGGCAGCATAGCTGTCTGGTTGGAAACTCTGAAACGGTTATTTTTCTTGCTGCAGAGCCTATCATGGCCTTGGTTGTGTTAACCCTGGCCTCATATTGTTCTTTTTCTTTGCCAATTGTTATATTAAGCTCAGCCTTAATTGTTCACATATATGTATATATGCTCATGTGTACACATGCATAGAATGGAAAAGAACTACACTGAATATAAAGTTATATTTGTATGTATTTTTGCACACGTGTGTATGACACATGGGGATAGGGAGGAAGAAATGAGAACTTTTTACTTTGAACACATAAAACTATCCCAGATCACAATACAGCTGTGGGAAAATAGAATGGATTGGTATGGTCATTAATGATTTTCTTTAATTGTTTTTAAACCAAAGATGAATGGCTCTCCTGAAAAATATATTATGGCAATAATATACCTTTTGACTTAAGTAACCACCAGTGTAAATTTTTACATTATTTTAAAAGCTACAGCCTGTAGAAGAGAAAAGCCAGGGATAAGAAAGCTCTTTCTCCCTATAAAGGCAGCATTTTGAAGAGAGTTGTCACAACATTTTCTAAATCTGAAGAATAAGAATAAGAATAAGATCTCAGAATATTATCTAAAAGCATGATTAAATTTTCTAAATTGAACTTATTAAGTGACCAAGATCCATTTAAGTAACTTAAGGTCATAAATCAAAAGCATTTGCACACAGAAATAACAGGTACTTGGCTGATTTTATATGTTCAAAGGAAAGATTTTTGATGAAATAAAATTTTTAAAAATAATGGGCAGTCAATTAAAAGTTATAAAATACAGAAGGCAGACTAAGTAGTATTAAATTTAATAATTCAAGGCAATGCTTTCTAAAGTACCAAACTTAAAGAATAAATCATATTTATAGCCTGAATAAATTAAGAAATAAGTGGCTGAAACAGTAGGTTAATTAAAATTAGTGCATTTTCTAAACTGGCAAACCAGATAGGTTGGTGGACTAATATGTCAGAAGTTGGCAGTTATTTCAGCCAAAATAGTCAAAGCAGATGGGTATCTATATGTGACCTCAAAGGACTTTAGTTTTTATAGTCTTTACTGGATCATAGAACCTATGTAATCTTTTTATGAAACATCATTATTACCTTATGAGTATTTCTGTATACTAAATGTTAATTATGTAACTTTCTAACTATGAGTATTTGGCAAGTTCCCTTCATCTCATTTTCTTTACTTAAGAAATTGGGAAAATAATATTACTTCCCTTTTAGGATTTTTCAAAGATTAAATTAGTTAATATACAAAACATTGTCTACACATGCTAACCTTTCAGTAAATGAAAGCTAGTGCATTTTAAAGAATTACCTCTTCTTTAGCATTCATGGTATAACATACACTGAAGACATTTTAGATGATGAGAATGTTTAAGTCACAGAATTGTGCATATTTTAGTTACTTTTATGGTGTTTGGGTTTATAAAAGGCTAGCAAGCACCTAAATATAGAGTACAACTAAGTAAAGCATGCCAGTCTACGGAGACAACCAAGCTAGGCTTCTATTTTTCATTCCTTTAGCCATTTTAACATATGAAAATAGTCCTCTTCAGGATCTCTCAGAAAAGCTTTTCCACTGTTGGAGCAATTTTTATAAATGGAGTTTGGGCTAAAGGAAGAAAATTAACAAGATAACTCAAAGAAAATTTACTTCATAAAGAATATAGCCTTTTAGATGACACAGCCTTACAGGGAGTTTGGAGATAGAGGAGAATAAGTCAAGAAATAAAAAGGGAGTTTTTTTTGATTCAGGGACTAAAAATGAGATCTGTAATTGGAAAAGGGCTACAGGATCATGATGCCTTTTGAATTGCAAACACCAGGTTAAGAACTTTTGAAAAAGATATTTGGAAAGTGTGCTCGCAGAGTGAATGATCTAATGCCTTCTATTTGTTCCCATCTATCAGAGGTCATATTGCAACACTGCTTGCCTAATAAGACAGAAGACTTTCAGTTCACCGGCCCTTACTGCTAACCTTTTATTCTCTTAAAACCAAAAAAAATGTACATAATGGTGTAGCCAAAATGGGAACATGCCATTTAGAATTAGGTCTGATTTTAGAATTAGTTCTGATTTAAATTATTCTATGCAACACTTTGTTTTAAGTTTTTTTTTTTTGGTCGGGGGAGGGTGAGTGGATGAAGGATGGTATAACATTGCACAAAGATAAAGGATGTCAAGTCACAGAAAATCAGGTTCAATTCTTGTCAGCAATACATGCTGTGTGACTTTAAGGACATACTTTTAATAGAAAGGACTGTTTCTTATTTGCTATTTAATCCATAAAACTAACTAGACAGTGTAAATAAAACAAGTACTCAAAAATGCTTATTGAAAAAGTGCTTTGTAAAACAAGCATTATTTTCTTTCCTATTCTGTCAAATAGGAATAATAGTACTATCTAAGCTTGTGGAAATTAAATGAAGCAGTGTATAGGAAATGACATAGAGAAAGCACCTGACACATGGTAAACTTCTCTCAACAATGGTAGCTCTGATTATTTGTATTAAAAATATTCAACTGCATAACAAGATTTTTTTTTCTTTTTGGTACATAGAGAACTATTACTACTTTAAACATCAAATCTGCCAAGAACTTAAACCTTTTCCACTTATTTTCTTCACACACAAATTTGTCAATTATTTTGATATCCATTGAAGATAAATATTTTTCATAATTATGACAGGGTTTTAGGTGGACACTTTTAAAGATTGCAGTTTGAATCAGAACATTTTTGCTCTATATTAATTATGAAAACCTAAATTAAAAAGAAATTTAATGCCAGGAAATACCTTTGTCCCTTTTCTGACTTTTTTCTTCCTTTCAATAAATTGTTTTGGTTTATTCCTCATTTTTCCATTCATGGAAAGTCATCCCGATTATCCATTCTTTATAATGTTTTCATACTGATTTAACTTAAATACTCACTAGATTTAATAGAATTTAATATGAAACTACAACCAAACATTGGATTCCTTCCTATTTCATCTTTTCAGTTGTTAATATGGCCTCTAAGTGCCACTGAGTAATAAATTAGAAAAAGCCAGGCAACTCTAAAGTCTCCTTGTGTGGATTTTCTTTATCTATATATTATAAAAAGTGCAATTTGTAACTAAGCTGTCCTGGGTTTCTTTCACCTACAGCACTTACAGCCTGCAAAACACGGCAGGACCATAACTTGACCTAATACTCACTGATTACCCAGTATGGGCTAATGCTTTTAACCCCATATCAGTACTTGCTACCTGCTGACTGCAGTTTCAAGGAGAGCAATATTGCTTTGAAGAAAAAATAAGGACTTCCTGAGACCATCTACATTTATTCTTATATATTAGATCATCCCAAATTTGTTCACAAGCCTTTGGTGAAAGAGAAAGTAAGTGATAGACTTTTTATTTTTATTGAACTAGAAGTATATTCAAATGTACCTCTACTGGCTTAATGAAAAGGGATATGATCCCTTACGACTTTCCTTCATTAATAATTTTGGATGTCAGTAGATGAATGGGTGTGGTTTCTATTCTCTGGGAGCAGTTTATATATGCTCCCTTGGCCAAGAGAACCCCAAGCAGTAAAGTATTTTCCACCATGCATGGTAGCATTGTTCCTTTATCTCGCCACACAGACTTCTAACAATTATGGACTTAAAGATCTTCTTTCTAGTTTCAGCCACCTAAGAGACTTCTTTGAATCTTTTTAACTAACTCCTAAAGAAAAGAACTAGAAAGATTGGATCAGATATCTTCCATTGGGTCCATCAATTTTGTCTCAGGCAACTTGATTATACAAAAATGTGACACCTCTCATAGGAATAATATACATGCAAGGGAGGAAGAAGAAGATGCTAGAAAAAAGGAGAAGAGCAAATGATTGTTTTTGCAGTTCATCATGTCTTGTATATTGCCTCACTTCCATACCCATACCTCTAAATTAGAATGTTATATCCACCCAGAATAGTAAACTGGTGTACTCTGAACTGCCAGGAAAGTACTATCCCTTTCTATCACACCTTAGCTTGACCCTGTTTGTCAAAGTCCCTTGCTGAGTCAAGGAAGTGATATCTGAGTTCTTAATCATTCAAATTTCTGTTCTGTATATTAAATTACAGAGCCTATAGGGCATTCACAACAGTTTTTGAATACTAATATAATGACTTTCTGGTATTGATTCTCTGTATCCAGTTCCTCTGAATCCATTTTACAATTGATCTTTAACTGACAATATGATATACTGTAGCTCTTAGTTGTTATATAATCTTTGTTTATCTAACTTTTCCCATTCCTTTGTAACCATGGTAAGAGAAATCATTGTCAATCATTCCAATGAGCTATAAAGAAATATATATATGGGAAAAGTTAAAGACAAAATATACGAGAAAGGTCCACTAAAATATAGGCAGATGAGCTCTGTACCAAGATAGATTGAAGGTAAAAAATAGCATGTACATTGGGAAACTTATTTCTCCCTTTGACTGCACGGAGGGGAAATCCCGGGACAAAATACCTCTAAAACTGAAATCAATCAAAGGGAAATTAAAATTAACAAATCCTTTTATTTTTCACACACAGTTGTCCCAACTCTCTCTTGACCAGGCTGCAGCAGAAGAGAGCTCCACCCAACCTCTCTGGTCCAGATAAGCCCACACATACCCTTGTGATTACCAATTGATAT